TCACTTATGTTTAACATGAAACATTAAAACATCAAATAAAACACAAATATAAACAAGAGTAGCTCACATTTGCTGCTTGTCCCACAAGTTCCTGACACTGCCCCCTGGTGACTGTACATAGCTACAACATGGGTCTGCAAAGCTCTGGACTTGGGTTTAATGTTTTTCTTGGAATGATGTGCCTGAGACGTGCCAGTCATAAATAAACCCCGCTCTGAATTGCTCAAATTAAGACAAAAACACTTTGGTCACTATCGGCTTCATGAATACTTAATAAATCATCACAAACATCACAAACAACTGACATCACTGACAGTCACTTTACAACTTGCTTTGTTTTTAGAACTGCAGAAGCAGTTCTACAAGTTTTTCAAGCTCTCAAAACACTTCTGGAAGTGTGCTTTCAACAAGCAGAGTGCATCAGTTCACTCTGCACTCGTGTGATTTTCGGACATTTGTGACAAACTGTCTACAGACAGAAACCCTCTGGATACAATTCAGGATACATCCGTATAAAAGTGCAGGCATACAAATCTGTACAAATGCAATCCCACAACGTCAAACTCAGTGGTCAGAACATGCTTGTACTACTTAACCACAATGTTTTTGTATTTTCCTGTAAATCTGTAAATGGTGGTTGGATTTACCAAGGATCTAATTTCCTTTAAATAAACCCAACTCTGGACGACTTAACTGGAGAGGAAGTTTTTTTAGGTCAGCTTTAAAACTCAGAGAGACTTTAAGCACAGACCACCTTCATGTTGTCATTTTTGTGCCCCTTCAGGTTCTTCAGACGCGTCCTGGTGTGAGTGACGTCCTGCAGGTTAAAGCCGACAGTTTCTCCTGACCTCAGCGCAAACTGCTTTCTTTTATACGTGAGAACGTCTAAATCTGGGTTTTGTGTTTTGTTTTTTTTACCTGAAGCCATTAATCTTTCCCTGAACTAATGTGTGCAATATTTACTACACACTGGCCCAAACTGTTTATGAAACTGTTTTTTGAGGAAATAGGCTACCTGTAGCTTAATTTATTTAAAAAAAAAAGAAAAAGAATAAAAGGTATTTAATGTGTTTTTAGGAATTTAGGCTAAAATAAACCATACTTATCCCTTAATATCTGTGCTAAACCCATGCAAAGCAGTCAAGTCCCATGGCGTCAAATACTGCCACTCTATCTGATGCTGCTGTTGTCCTATTGATAGGTTTCCTTTGGCTTGATTGTCCTGACATATCTAACAGTCCTCTTTTAAAGCTACTTATTTCAAAAATTGTTTAAATCCTTCAAAATCAAATTAAAGCTGAAAAGCTCAACAGAACTAAACACTGTGTTAAAGAAAAAGCAGTAGTTTGGTGTAATACCACTGTATACCCAAAGAGAGTGCAGCGACTCAGTGGAGACTTTTTTAACCAGAAAAATGATTAAAGTTATATAAGAAAAAAAACCTCTCAAGGAAATGGGGCTGCTAAAAGAAATTAGTTAGCTGTAGGCACGGAAAACTACTTGGTCAAGTTTGTTTGGGTTTTTTTTTAAAGGCAATAAGTAGGGCTGTGCGATATGACCAAAATCTCATATCCCGATATAAAACATCTATCGTCCGATAACGATATAAATCACAAAAAATGTAATATTTTCT